CCACTTTGTAGCAATTAATTTTTTACCTACAAATATTTCCCTACCTTGAAAAGATCTTGCTTTTCAGTTCTTGTATTTTCCTTTTTTATGCCAATAGAGATTGTCCTTTATCACTTGGGTGTTTCCTGGTATTTCAGAAATAGAACACAACCAAAGTAAACTGGCCACATGGGAATCAACCCAGGTGTATACAGTTTTCTGCTCCTGCATTGCTCCTGGTTGACACTTCTAACTCAGTGTATTTTCATATAGGACTGGTTGCTAAAACTGGTTTTAATTTGCTTCCTTTGCCTTTAAACATCTAGATGAAAAATAAAGAGGAAGAAGAAAGACAAAGAAAAATAGAGGCTCAAGAACAATTACTGGCTGTCATGAAAGCAGATCAGATTTTCTGGGAACATGAAAAGGAGAAAAAACGCAAAGCTGATAAAGAACACCGAGAAGTTCAAGATTTCCATATTCAGCAAATGGTAATTGTTCCTGAATGCTTATACTTATTTTAGCAATAAATATGTAAGTTTTCTATCTCTCAAGCAATTTCTTTTATCGGATAAGAACAAGTGGTCATTCTGGTTGATAAAATATATCAAAAATGTGAGGTTAATTTCTGATTTTGTCTCCATTGACGTTCCCATACTTGTTTTATCTTTTACACAAATGTTTATCTTTCTTTAGTGTCTATTATGCTTTAGTAAATACTAAAGAAAACACAAATGCATATGACAGACCATGATGCTCATCTTCTTTGTTTTACTTTTTTTCCTCTTTATAACTAGAGACAATGTTGACTGGGATCTCATAGGTTTCAGATTTGAGGTGAATGGGGTTGTCATAGATTTTAAAAGATGTGTGGAGAGCCTGGCATCCAATCATTTGTGACTAAAACCTGTTTCCAAATGGCTGTACCATTTTCCATTTCTACCAGCAATATATGCGAATACAATTTCCTCCACATCCTCGCCAACATTTGATATTGTCATCCTTTTAATTTAATTTTAACTATTCTAGTATGGTGATATCTCATTACTTTATTTCATATTTCCCTAATGACCAAAGATAGTGAACATCTATCTTGCTAGCCATTTGAATGCCTTTTTTTGTGAAGTGTCTATTTAAGCCCCTTGCCAATTATTTAAGTGTATTGTTTTCTTACTGAGTTTAACTTATTTTTTATTGTAGTAAAATATGCATAACATAAAATTTACCATTTTAAGCATTTTTATTTTTTTTTGAGACAAAGTCTCACTCTGTCACCCGGGCTAGAGTGCAGTTGCATCATCGTTAGCTCACTGCAAACTCAAACTCCTAGTCTCAAGCAATCCTCTTGCCTCAGTCTCCTGCGTAGCGGGGACTACAGGCGAGTGCCACCATGCCCAGCTATTTTTTTCTATTTTTGGTAGAGATGAGGTCTTACTCTTGCTCAGGTTGGTCTTGAAGACCTGACTGCAAGTGATCCTCCTGCCTCAGCCTCCCGAAGTGCTAGGATTACAGGTATCAGGCACAGTGCCTGGCCTATTTTTGTTTTTTAACACATTGACTGCCACACTAGAAAAACTTTTTCCCTGGGGCCATGGTATTTCATTAAAACAAAACAATCCTTTCTAATTTGTTATTTTTTATTGTTTTCTGTGCAAGAGTTATATGCAATACAATGCATTTTTTTTTTATTTTTTTGAGACAGAGTCTCACTGTGTTGCCTAGGCTAGAGTGCCGTGGCGTCATCCTCGCTCACAGCAACCTCAAACTCTTGGGCTCAAGCGATCCTCCTGCCTCAGCCTCCCGAGTAGCTGGGACTACAGGCATGCGCCACCATGCCCGGCTAATTTTTTCTATATATTTTTA